AAAAAATCCAACAATCTTCACCTTGATACCCAATAATCTACAAGCAACCAAAACACACAGTTTATACTTGCACAATCAAGGTAATCCAATAAAATTGGAATAACTGACCTTACCTCGTGTTTCCAACCTGAAACACATATGATACTTGCTTTATGTACTCATCAGGGCTAAGGTCAAAAATATCCAAGTAGAAACAAGTATTCACAATGAACAAACAATCATGCGATGAAGATATATAGGATAACACACACACGGATCTTTTCAAAATCACGTTCACATAGAACCACAGATTAACACCTAGTTAATCAAACCACGGTTAACCACATATGCAACACATGCATACATGACTTTAAGAAAAGATCTCACCACACTTATCCTATCCCATTCCGTGTTACTCACACCTCGAGAACACATATCTCCTCTCATCGCCCACAATGCTCACTAAACCAATCACTCAACTCATGTCTAACTGGCAAGTCACAATAGATCCTAAGCTCTCGGGATAATCCTCTATCACCATATCACTTCTCCGAACCTACGTGAATAATGAGACTCCACCTTATAGAAGTGATAGAAGTGCCTCTCTCACACTCCACCTGATCAGGGTCTCTTTCACAAATAAATGATTCTACACATTTGATCATATTTCCACTCATGATCAAAATGTCACACTCCACATCCCTCGTGCATATCACCAATGCACATCTAGGCATCTATACTCCACCTTACCAAAAGACATTCAACTCACTGCTAATGCATTACAAACTCACTGCAGCAAAACAACACCTTTCGGTGACCACAAAGGTTACTCCAATCGCCAAAGCTCCAAAAATTCACAAAGAAAACGGCGAAGGTGGCAGTCACAAAGAAAAATCGAAGAAAGAGTCGGTTACTTCACAACCTCACAAAGGAGGCTCACAAAAATAAAGAATGTAACCTTAACATGGCTGTCTTACATAATCTCACAAATCACACAGGCTCACAAAGATAAAAGAGAGAAACGGCTGCCTAACTTTCTTCTCACTGCCACACTCTCACACCACTCACAGAGCAAATAGAGTACGTCACAAAACTTAACCCACTATGCATGTCAACATATTACACAAAGTAATAAGTCACTCTAATTCATGCAATTACACACAACAAACATATTGAAAGTGTAACATACCAAAGTTGCAATAGAATTAAGTGACCATATACATGCAGAAAGGATTACATACAGATGCAGTGCAAGAACCAGGTTTATTCTCTCAATAAACCTCACTAGGATCACTACTCGATCCTAAAGTCACATTTACCTCGTCTCTATCCTCATCTTTCCTTTTATTATTATCTTAGGACAATCTCTTTTAACTATGTCCAAATTTTACTACAGTTAAAATATATTTTATTTTTCGCACTTGCCTTAGACTTATACACGCCAACAATACCAAATAATGATCACAAGCAAAGTACTGACACATAATTCACACAGAATAGTCAAGTAAATTTTCCTAAGGTCACATGTAATTATAATTGTATAGAAAAATTGGTGACAAATTCACATAGAATTTAAGGCAATTAATTAACATGTAATTCCTAAGTCTAGCGACAAGCAATGGTTATCCCAAACCTAACGTCACCCCACATAATGACTTCTAACGCGAAAAATAAATAATTAACCTACACATTTATTTCAACTGCAATAATAAAAAACAAAGAATACGATATCAAGTGGACCACATCTAAAGGTCCGTAAATATCAAGAAACGCGAATTCATCACTTTCGGACTATCACTATTTATCCTAAAGTTACTAGCAACCACAGCAAAACGAAAATAACACCCGACACCCAAACGTCCAAGGGTAAAATCGTCCAACTTTCACTGCATTGATAAACAAAACTGAAATCCGACAATACCACAGGGTCCATCTCATCTCCAGCAACATTCTGTCTAAAGACACCATCTCTGGAATCCGACCGATGCGCCCTCAAGCACCACGTCGGCTTCCCCACGCGCCTGCGTTAGCGATCCAATCGCCGACCACCTGTCACCGTTCCGACTTCTTCTCTGCCTGCACAGTCCACTGGTGGTGTCCATTTCACCAAACTCCTTTTGGTTTCACCAGAAAATACCAAAACAGATCTGGCAGCATTTTGAAAAAACTGGACAATTTCTGCCTCTGATTTTCAGATCCGTTTTCGACCACTTTCAGCTTGACTTTAGCCCCAAAAAATCATAGATTTATTAACAATACAAGCTCTGATATCATTTGCAGCGGAAATCCCTCGATAAATCTTGATTCCGAGCTCAGAAAACAATCAAACGAACACTGATTTATCTCGACTTGACCCAAGACTTTTGCCTTCACTTTGGACTGCTCTCTTTCTCTCTAACCCCACAAAGGAGAAGGGTGGTGGTGTTAGCAATCCACAAAGGTATGAAGAGGAAGAAAGAGATATCACAATGGTTGAATCTCACTCACGACCTCACATGGCTTCCCTCTCTCTCGGTTGCCTCTCTTCTCTCAACTCTCCTCTCCATTGCAACAACACACACACACCAAAACGGCTGGGAGATAAATACATATATATAGGTTAGTTTAGGTTACCAAATATGGGCCAAAAGATCTCTAAGTGGGCTGTCATATAACCTAAACTAATGGGCCAATTACCAACTATATATTAATCACTAAATGATCTAACTAACCAAATAATCATCCAACCCAAACCTGAACCATCCAAAAGTGTAGTTCGTCTCCGAGCCAAGCCAAGTCCATGGTGTCGATAAATAATCCGACAACTATTTTAAATCATCGCCCGGATTATTCGGTATCAAAAAATCCAACACTACTTTAGCAGTGGTGTAGTGGACTTTGAGATAATGTCAAGATTGACTATTGCAGAGGAGAGGTTGATGATGTTGTAACTTAGGAATTGGGGCAACTGGTGCGGAGTTAGGACTGGGACAATGGTGAATGCATGAATAAATTTTGCAGAAGTGTGTGTTACTGCTATGCTCATGCATGTGCACATTTGTAATTATGTTTTTTTTTTAAACCTGTATGAGAGAAAAAATAATGAGAAAGAGGAGTTGTGCGAAAAAAAAAATATATTTAAGAAAATAGACTTGTTCGAATAAAGGGAAATATGTGAGAAGGGAAAAAAAAGTGTCCATTTTATGGAAATGAACATCATATTGAGACAGACAATGGAGATGGGAAAACAATAATTTCAGAAGAGAAAGTATGGATAATGNCATTTTATGGAAATGAACATCATATTGAGACAGACAATGGAGATGGGAAAACAATAATTTCAGAAGAGAAAGTATGGATAATGTTTCTACAGAAGCTCCAAGCCATATATAAATCATAAAAAAGCTAATCATTTCTTGTACATCTTAAATCACATATTAAATATTTCAATTGATATATTAGGAAGGACGCACCAAAACTCCAAGAATTCCTTACTCTATTGATGCACAAAAACTGGTTTTGTTTACATGCTATCAGTCAATCGGCCGTTTGTTGTCATTGTTCTGCATTTCGTTGAAGGAGTGTTTTCTTATTCTTACTCAAAAATGATCCAAAGAAATTCTAGCTTATTTGATTTAATAAATCTCTCCTTTTGGGCTGTGTTATAATCAAATTTGTTCTAATTACTAATCCTTCTGGGAGAACGAAGAAGTGAGGGATACAATGGGGTCGGAATCAGCCCGTTGTAGAGCCATGGAGCTAGTACCAAAACGTTTCTTTTGTTGCATTTCGCTCAAAGGGTATATGAATGAGACGATCGGGGAAGATCTGAGCAAGGTATGTAGTGAGAGGGAGAGATGGTATTGACTGTCCTATTCCTTTCTTCTTGCTAGAACATGAAATATTGGCCAACGAAATCCCCCTCATTTCTACTTGTAACTGGCATCTGAACTGAAAAAAACTCATTTGTTTTCTTCTATTTTAATTAAATCATATTATGAGCTTAATTTCAACCAGAAACATAAAAATGAGCAGCCATATATAATATAAATCTTTTTAGTCATTCGTCTACGTTGATGGACTTCAACTTGGATATGATATTTCTAGAGCATCCAGTTTTGCATGTAGAAGTATGACCAATGAAATAGGAGATAACCCTAGAACTAAACCCCCTTTCGGC